AGACAAGGATGTCCTTTGTCACCCCTCCTATGCAACACTGTGTTGAAAGTCTTAGACCGAGCTATAAGGCAAGATAGGGAAATTAAAGGCATCCAAATTGGCAAAGAGGAAGTAAAACTTTCTATTTGCAAACGAAAGTAAAGAGGACTTAGTGATCAAGGTCAAAGACTAGTTTTTGTATGAATTGTACCTCAATGCAAAGAAAACAAAAATCCTCACCATTGAACCAATAAATAACATCAAGATAAATGGGGAAAAGATTGACATTGTCAACGGTTTCCTTTTGCTTGGATCAACCATCAATACTCAGAAGCATCGGCAAGAACTCAAATGATGTATTAGGCAAATCTGCTGCAGAAGGTCTCTTTGAAGTGGTCAAGAGCAAAGATTATCAGTTTGAGGACTAATATGCGCTTGACCCAAGCTATGGTATTTTGAGTAACCTTATATGCATGTGAAAGTTTGTCAATGAATAAAGAAGAGCATAGATGAATTGATGCATTTAAATTATGGTGCTGGAGAAGAATACTAAAAGTACCATGGATCTCCAAAAGAACAAAGTAATTGGTATTGGAAGAAGTACAGCCAGAATGCTCTTAAAAGCCAGGATGGCTTCTTCAGACATTATCAGGAGGGACCAGTTCCTGCAGAAGGACATCATGCTTGGTGAAGTAGAGGGTCAGCAAAAAATAGGAAGACTCCCAATGAGATAGATTAGCACAGTGGCAGCAGAAATGGGCTCAAGTGCCAGGCCCAGGACTGAGAAGAGTTTCCTTCTGTAGTGCATAAGGTCACTATGAGTTGGTACCGACTCGATGACACTTAACAACAACGTATTTATCTTTCAGGGATGCTTATTTTGGTCCTAAATGAGTTTTATGCATTTCTTCTTAAGATTATGTCTTAGTATTTTCCTATATTTTATTTATTTTGTGTGTTAAATAGCTATTAAATTGTCTATCAGTCTTTTGTATGTATACAAGGATATTGGATTAATATTTTTAAATTTATAACTTTTTCACTAAATCCTTTTATTACAATAGTTTGTCCCCACCCACTTCCTTCTTTCTTTTCTGCCCATCCGAAGTCACAACATCTTTCCATCACTTTACTATGCAGAGATGCTGACTGACTAGAGGTCTTTGAAGTTCTT